TAAAATGAAAAATAGCAATAAGAAAAAAGAGAACGGCAAATGTTTGTCACTTTAGCATAGGTGTAAAAAATCACCGTCTTTCACGTATTATTTTATTTGCTGCCTCTTTCTTTGTTTGCCACGAAAACGTCCCATTTAAATAATAGAATTAGGACGTTTTCCTGGCTTCTCTGCGGATGATAACGCATCATCAAGTCTTATTCATAATTTCCATTTTATCAAAATATAGAAATTAATGACTACCTAACAAAAATTTTAATTTTGGGTGGTAAAATTGACGAAGTGCAAAATGATCTTACCGAAATTATATCGGTCTCGATATAAATAATAATGTGAACTTTTCTTATCCTAAAAGATCTCTTTTTCCCATAAAATTACTTTTACCCAAATTTTTAACTGTATCACATCAGGCATTAACGTAGTCCGTACAGATTCACTTTACCTCTTAGGTGATCCTTTGTTAATATCGAGTTTGTAACCTCTTTCAAAAATTAAAGTAAAATCAATCTTTAGATCATATTAATAAATTATTCTTACTAAAGTCGCATATTGCACTTACTATTGTGTGACATTGTATTCTTGTACCTTCTTCGCTCAAGTCCAGTTTGGAAATGCGGTGATTTTTATACGAAAATTATTTACGTCTTAATTTCAGCTCTAGAATCAAATCTATATTTATCTAGCTATTAATGAATCTACTCAAATCTACTCAACCTACGTTACGGATAATTTCTAGTGCCACTCAACCTGCCTTCCTTGCCGTAGATAGCGTAAAAAATTTGCCGAGGAGGCAAGGATGTCTTGGCTGTCTATCTGCTCCAACGAAAATTTCCCACTGGAAGTAAACCAACAAACACAGCGAGATATTCCTTTGGTACACAGAGTACAGAAGCTATGTGTCTTTAGATAGTAATTTAGAGCGTGCCCGATTTCTAGGCGTCACATCTAAAGCATCGAGTTATTGGCTTCAGTTTTTCTTTTAGTTTAGTCAAACATTATATTCATATTCATATATGGCCCACCCTTTGAGAGAAACTGTTGAGGTCATTGTGCATAGTACTAAGATCCTCCCGCGATTCTGACATGATGACTATGTCGTCAGCAAATCGAAGGTAGGTAATGTATTCGCCATTGATATTAATTCCACGTCCTTACCAGTCCAGAAGCAGGAAAACAGCTTTCAACTCAGCGGTGAAGAGTTTCGGGATATGACATTACCCTGTCTTAGACCCTTCTGCAGTTGGATAGGTTTTGTATTATTGGACTGTACGGCTTATTCGGAAGGTTGGAAGTCGTCGAGCCTGGACGCAAGACAATTCAAAAAGACTCTTGAAAACAGCACATAGACGCGGCTCAGAAGGGATATCGGTCTATAGTTCTTCAAGAGAGTGTCATCACCTTTCTTGAAGAACAGCCAGTGACGGACTCCAATCCGCCCCTTCCCCCAGGTCCTAGGGGGGCGCCCCCAAACGCCTTCATGTTCCCTTGAAAAAATCCTAAACAAGACTTTGAAATGTGCTTTGTACCTATCTAAGAGGTTGGAGTTTAGAGGTCCCAAAAATATTATTTCGTCAGATAAAAAAACGTGTAAATAAAATCATATAATAGGTGGGTAGCTAACGCTTTGTCAGCCGTATGAATGATACGGGGTCCCGGAGTCCAAGACCTCTGTAGGCCCCGAACGGATGAAAGCAAAAATTCCACAATAACTTAAATTCTTAAGTCATACGTCCCGAGACAAATAAATGATCTTTAGCATCATCACATCATGTATAGATTACATAAAATAATGGCCTGTTAAAGGTACACCTTTAACAGGCCATTATTCTGTACCTGGACGATTCATAATGAAATTGTTAATTTGGTTTGGTCGATTAGCGCAGTTAGAGAAAAATATTGTTATAAATTAAAATCTTAATTTCTGGCGATTATTTCGGATACAGTAGAGACATGTCGCAAATGTATGATATACAACGTGTCGTTACCATTGCGACAATAAATTAACACACATATAGGGGATAACTTTTTAAAGTTGTATTAAACATTTAAATTCTTTAAACATCAATATTTACAGAGTTATTAAATTTTCCAAAACAAAGAATTTTAGAACACCCTTACCTACAAAAGCGTAACGTAAAGTTCATTTGTAAAGGTCACAAAGCATATGAATGGGTTGAATGAATTTAAAAGAGACAAAAAATACTGTTAGAAGGAGAGGCTTGTAATGCGACGCTGTGGCGCGAATTTTATAGGATGTTACAAATTTTGTTTCTTTTTTATTTAATTAGTTTGTGTGAAAAATATTTTTTTTAATTATGGATTTTGTTTAACGTTAATATTTTTTTATGATTATTGGCAAGAAGCGTTAGACGTGTGTTCATTTATTGTCGCGATGGTAACGACACGCTGTATATAGAAATATCATAATATATAATAATATTAAAACGCTGGTTAATATTGAGTAACGATTCATCTGAAAAATATAAAATTAGGTAACCTTAAAAAAGTTTGCCTTGCTAGAAGATGTTCGAGGAACGACGCTTTAAGGAAAAATTATTCATGAATAATGAAAATTTTGGAGCAACTAAATTAATTTTCACAAAAAAGGCGAACGTAACGATTTTAAAAATATAATTAACACAGAGAGAATTTGTTAATAATGCTTGTCGTCTTTTTTTCTTTACTATTAGAAATCATTAATACTACAGCTCTACAGCATGAAAATAATGACTTATAGAAAATTAATATTTTACTATGCATTCTTTTCACGAAATAATAAAAATATGTAGAAAAACACAACTGTCTGCTAAAACAGTCACGACATGTCAGTGGAATTGTATGAACAATTTCTTAACTAACGTGTTTAAACCCTGAAAAGGTTAGTTAGTTTTTTCGTAATTAAAACTGATAAATCTTAAGATTTCTATGGGACTGGAATGGATTTCAGATAAGTCACTATTTTATATAACGGCAGAAAATCTAGAAAATGTGAAATCTTCTCCACTATGGATGATTTAATAAAAAAATTCCGAAAAAAGTATATATATTAATTCCAAGCGAGATTTTTGTTTCTTTGGTGAACAATCTTAACTCTTCATTTGGCCGATACATTTTGATTTGAGGTCCAGTCTAAGGAAATCTACGCCACTGCTGCTAATCTTTATAATGTCTATATTGTTTTAGTTTCAAAAATTTACAAGAAATAAAAACTACCTATTACTTTATTTTTACAATTTTTTTTGTAGATCGATTCATATTTTATTTTCCTCATCCATGTATTGTGTGTATATTTATTTAAGACCAATTTAACACAACAAATTAATGTGAAGTGAATAAAAAGCTTGTTTAATTAGATCAATTCCTTAAACTAGGGGCCTCATTTAGCTTTACCGCCCCGGGCCTCTGAAGGCCTTAGTCCGCAACTGAGAAAAGCACCACTACACTTCTGCTCCACGCCTCTCGTGGAGCACCATCCAGATGGACGGAATTAAATAGCTTCTGAAGGACCAAAAGTCTTCTTAGTCAAGAGACATTCTAATCTCGGTAAGACTGACGTCCGGGATATTCTCGAAATAGTGTCGAACAATCTTCTCTCTTGGGTCTTTATTCACACGTGCGTGTGGCTCCAACGACGATGTATTTCTATCTTTCTTTCTTTCAGTCCATAGAACTTCTCAATGTCATTAAAAACTTCTGGTCTACTGGAGACGATAGCCCCGCTGTCAGTCTTCAACTTAGTCAATTGGCTTCGTCTGATAGACAGAGAGAGAGAGAGAGAGAGAGAGAGAGAGCAAGCGTCTTATTGATCTGGTACATTTATAAGTGCCTTAGAAATTTTATTTAGAAATTGATTGCAAGTATAATAAAATACATCAATGTTAACATACATGTTATTATAGTACAGCATACATCTATGCAGTACAGAAGCATTAGCATGTTTTGTTTTTGTCAAAGGAAAATGAAATAATTTTGTGCCGCGTACATGACGTGATGGGATGCGAAAGGACAATCGGTGCAACAATGTAGGGCAGTCTATACGACCGTGCAATGTATCGTAAAGCAGCCGTAAAGCAGCCGCATGTCGGAAATAACTCTTCTATTTGCTAAGGAAAGAAGTTTATACTTCTTCAGTGGAGCATTATAATTGTTTATTGAATTATGTGAGTAATTTAAAAATTTTACAAATTTCATTTGGATACGTTCTATTTTTTGAATATGAGTTATGTACGATGGAGACCAAACAGTTGAAGCATACTCAAGTGTACTACGGACGTAAGCATAATACAAAGGTAGTAGTGGCTTTGAGCTATGGAATACTTTAGATAATCTCTTATCGTACTCTCGTACGTCTCTTACGTATTATTCAATAAAAGGCATCTTATTTTAAAAATAGCTTTTTTTTACCGATTTTCACACTATTTAACCGATTCATTCTAAACAATCATTATCATTTATGGCATTAATTTTTCAAATTCACATTTCAAAAAAGTCTTATAATCATATTCCACAGCGGTGGTCGCTCGGCACTAGGCGATGGTGAGCGATTAGCGTTAAAAACTCCAGTGATATTAGTTAAAGAAAATTTGATAGCGAGATCAATGAAACTGTTAAAATTTTACATAAGGGAATGTAAACATATTGTAAAAATAGGGTAGCCATAATATGTATATATCCACGTGACAAGCTATGCCAAATAACCTGATCCTGTGAGCCTGTGACGTTCTCATCAACTTCCACCATTAATAAGTTTCGTAAAAGTTACCAACTTTGGTTTCTAAATAACTTACAAAGCAGATTTGTGATATGATTTTATTTGTTCTAGTCGTATAAACTCGGCGTGTTTAAGTTTAAATACCCAGTACAAATTAACCATTTTGGTCCCCCATATACTCTTGCTAGTTTGGATTGATGATTACATCTGTGAGGTTTAATGTATCGCCGCGTTTGAGAACCGTTCAATACGCTTTTGAGAAGACCTACATTTCCGTTGCTATTTGTACCTTCCGATAATTGCTGAAGCAGTGGAATGTATTCTGATTTTGAAAGTTCGTTTGTAATTCTAGTCATCTGTAATTTATAAGAATAATAAATTAATATATATTTTTATATTCAAGAAAATGGTTTTACACTCTCGTTATATGTTCAATACTTACAACTACTTTCAACTGATTATCTGATAAAGGTGTCGTTATGGGGCCAAGTAATAAAACACTGCTATTTTTTTCGAGGCTTTCGGGATCAACCGATATTAATTCATCGCTGCCGTTGCCTTTTATTTCTTCGTTTAAAATTAAAAACATATATTCGTTTGGAAATTGAGATTTCAAATCAGATGTTAAAGGTTTTGTCAAAGGATTCCTAGAAATAAACTGGTTAACGTATTTATATTGTTGTTTTCTCCGCTTTTTTGCGGACCTTTTACAGCAGAGTGCTTTGAGTTGCGCGACTAAAACGTCAAAAAGCAATTCTTTTTTCTCTTCATCTTCTTCACTTTTGTCGTCCCGCGGGAGACGACTGTTTAATAAACTGTTAAGCTTTTGCATAGCAGCATAATTGGCTTCATTGTTAATATTAAAAGAATCTATTTCTTTATTCTCTAATCTGAAATAAGCAGGTTGAGCTTTGTCATTAATACCAATGGTACTAAATCTATTCTTTGGTTTACTTTGTGCTTCAAAGATATTATTCAAAATAATGTTCGATTTATCATGACCCATGTTGGCCATTACTTTATTTTCTTCTTTAGGTCTGTTCCCAACAGTCAAGTTAATGATGTCGCTTAAATAATATTCATTTTTTTTCGGTTGTTCACTTAATAATTTCATCAATTGCTCATCAGATAACTTCGACAAGAAATATGTAGCATCATTATCTAAAACAAATATTAGGCAATGGACAGGAACTTGTGACACGATTATTTTTATTAAAAATCACATCCATATATGTATCTTACCAACGTTTTTTATTACCGTTGCTTTCGGTAAGTCTCTCTCATCTGGTATATAGGATTTCGCCGCAATTAAATCCGCTACTTCATTTTCTGCATCTCCGTTGTCCATGAAATACGTGTGCTTATTGATAACAGACATTGATTTCACAGTGTGTATCTAAAAATATATTATTTTACTTTAAACAATTTGTGAAAATTAAAACATATTTAAATATTGGAAAGGTTTACGTCCTGGGCTTAACGCCCGGTAGATGACAAGAGAGCTGTTTCTTTTCTCGCTCAAAGTAATAATTATTCAGCAAGGAAATGCACCTAGCGTTCTTGGCAGTGGAACCATGCCGCGTGGGCTAAGTTTATTAGATAATATGTAATTTTAGATAGATTTAATGTTGTAGATGATACGATTATAAACATTGAAAACATTTTTTACAGTTAAAATATGTATAAGCACTCACCCAAAACAAAGAAATTTTAATTATAAAACCTAAGTATAACAACATCATGCACCTGTATTTGATTCGTACAATCGGGTTTACTTTCACGGATAAATGTCTACACTAACAAGAAAAATTAATATTGTCTAGTTGTTTACGGAAATAATGAACAAGCGCTCGTAAAATTTTGTTATTGCGATAAGGATTGATCGAGTGACTTCGACATGTGCATTGTACCAGGTAGCATTCAATGGTTTCAATGCAGTGTAAACAAAATAAAGATTGATTCAACATTTAACTCTTAAAAGGTTAAGTTTTTTCTTGATAGTTGAAGCAATGTTTTCTTGAAAAATGCTACCCAAAACAATGCAAATGAAATCGACTTTCAAAAGAAGTTACACACTCTTTTGAAATGTTTGAATTTTAGAACCCTATATACACCAAGGGGGTGCTAAGAATCTCCGGCTAAGATTCGGCTACCAACGACGGCGACTGGACCTGGCAACATACAACGTAAAAATATTGAGGACTGACGAGAAGATAACAGAGCTGGAAGAAGAGGTAAGCAGGCATTGGGATATAATAGGATTATCTGAAGTCCGAAGACAGGGGGGGGAGGACACGATAATCCTTGAATCCGGCAACCTGTTTTACCACCGGGAGGGCGACCAACTGTCCCAAGGAGGTGTCGGATTTATCGTCCACAAGTCTCTCATTAACAACGTTGTTAAAATATCGAGGGTGTGTCGTCGAGGGTTGCGTACCTTATACTCAGAATATCCAAACGGTATTCGCTGAAAGTCATACAGGTCTACGCACCAACGTCGACACACCCGATGATGAGGTGGAGGCAATGTATGAGGATATATCACGAGCCATACATTCCTCCAAAACTCAGTACATGGTGTTAATGGGAGATTTCAACGCAAAGCTAGGCAAAAGGAAAGACGATGAGCTGAGAGTAGGTAGTTTTGGAATAGGGCAACGGAACCCAAGGGGGCAGCAGCTGGCTGACTTTATGGAGAAAGAGGGACTCTTTATGATGAACTCTTTCTTCAAAAAGCAGCCCCACAGAAAGTGGACCTGGATTAGCCCCGATGGTTCTGTAAAAAACGAGATAGACTTCATTATGACGAACAAACGGCAAATATTCAATGATGTCTCTGTGATCACAAGGGTGAAGACCGGAAGTGATCACCGATTAGTGAGAGGCACATTGAATATTAACATTAGGCTGGAAAGATCTCGTCTGATGAAGTCCACACTCGTGCCCATATCCAGAACTCCGAAAGCTTTCAGCTCGAGCTACATAATCGTTTCCAATGCCTATAAAATTGCAGCACGGTGGACGATATTAATGCAAAGCTCGTGGAAACTGTCCATGCCGCGGGCCTTAAATTTTATAAGGTCCGCCGCAAAAATAGAACCCAAAAACTCTCTGATCACACTCTCAACCTCTTGGGAAAAAGACGAGAGATGCGGTTGCAGTCTCTAACTGACATGTCGGACTACAGGCGGCTTAATAGGCAGATCTCCCAATACATGTGGCGAGACTTACGCAACTTCAATATAGGTCGTATTGAGGAAGCTATAGAGCGGAACCTAGGCTCAAAAGTCTTCGCCAGAGATCTGTCTATCGGACAAAGCCAACTGACTAAGTTAAAGACTGACAGCGGCGTTATCATCTCCAGTAGACCAGAGGTTTTGAGTGAGATAGAGAGGTTCTTGGACAGCTGTACACATCGTCGTTGGAGCCACACACATGTGTGAGTAACGACCCAAGAGCAAAGCTTATCCGACACTATTCCGATAATATCCCGGACGTCAGTCTGAGCGAGATTAGAATGGCTCTTGACCATCTTAAGAATGGCAAAGCATCAGGAGAGGACGGAATTACAGCAGAGCTTCTGAAAGCGGGTGGAGAACCGGTACTTGTAGTCCTTCAGAGGCTCTTTAATTCCGTCCTTCAGGGTGGTGCTACACCAGAGGCGTGGAGCAGAAGTGTGGTGGTGCTGTTCTTCAAGAAAGGCGATAACGCTCTCTGAAGAACTATAGACCGATATCCCTTCTGAGCCGCGTCTATGTGCTATTCTCAAGAGTCATCTTGAATCGTCTCGCTTCCAGACTCGACGACTTCCAGCCTCCCGAACAAGCCGGATTCCGAAAAGGCTTCAGTACCATAGACCACATACATACCTTGCGGCAGATTATACAGAAGACCGAAGAGTATAATCTGCCTTTGTGCCTAGCATATGTGGACTATGAGAAAGCCTTCGAATCTGTCGAAATTTGGGCGGTACTCCAGGCTCTTCAGCGGTGCCAAATTGACTGTCGGTATATCGAGGTGCTGAGTGTTTGTATAACAAGGCTACGATGTCCGTCCAAGTACAGTCCAGTAGTACAAAACCTATCCAACTGCAGAAGGGTGTAAGACAGGGTGATTTCATATCCCCGAAACTCTTCACCGCTGCGTTGGAAGATGTTTTCAAGCTTCTGGACTGGAAAGGACGAGGTATTAACATCAATGGCGAATACATCACCCACCTCCGATTTGCCCACGATATAGTCATCATGGCAGAATCGCTGGAGGACCTTAGTACTATGCTCAATGACCTCAACAGTGTCTCCCAACTGGTGGGCCTTAAGATGAACATGGACAAGACGAAGATCATGTCTAATGTCCATGTCACGCCAATACCAATGTTGTTGGGAGCACTGAGCTCGAAGTTGTTGACGAGTACATTTACCTAGGACAGTTAGTCCGGCTAGGTAAGTCCAACTTCGACGCAGAGGTCAATCGGCGAATCCAACTCGGATGGGCAGCGTTCGGGAAACTACGGCAAATCTTCTCGTCAAATATACCTCAATGTTTGAAGACTAAAGTCTTCAATCAATGTGTGTTGCCAGTGATGACCTACGGAACCGAGACGTGGTCCTTCACTGCTGGCCGTATGAGGAAGCTCAAAGTCGCTCAGCGAGCTATGGAGCGGGCTATGCTCGGTATTTCTCTGCGTGATAGAGTTCGTAACGAAGACATCCGCAGTAGAACTAAGGTGACCGATATAGCTCAGAGGATTAGCAAGCTGAAGTGGCGATGGGCCGGCCATATAGCTCGTAGAACCGATAACCGTTGGGGAAGAAAGGTTCTCGAGTGGCAGCCTCGTACTGGCCATCGCAGTGTGGGACGACCCCCCACTAGATGGAGTGACGACCTGTGCAAATGTGCGGGAAGTCGATGGATGCAGGTGGCTCAGGATCGTACTTCGTGGCAGTCTATGGGGAGGCCTATGTTCAGCAGTGGACTCAAACAGGCTGAAATGATGATGATATACACCAAATGGACATGAGTTCAGTCGTTTCAACGCGAGACGGGGCGCGACCGCGAACTTATCCCTGATGAATGACCTCCGATAGGTCCTAAACTAGTCATTACATCCGAGTAGAAGTGAGTTCACCCTCCAGTTATTTCGTTAATAATGTCTCACGAAATTTTTGTAATTTTATTGTTGTGGATTTTATTTTGTAGAATGTCGTAAATTAACTATAAGGCAGCCTATTTTTATTTTCAAAGAGCACAAATATGTACACAGCCTAGTGTTTGTGAGCGTACAGGACAAAAGCGCCGACTATAACTAAGCACTGAGTGTGACAGTGAGTTTATATTTTTTTTTATTTAATGCGAAAAGTTGTCAAACGAGCAGACGGTTCACCTGATGTTAAGTGAATACCGCCGCCCATGGACATCTGCCACACCCGAGGGTTACGGATGCGTTGACAACCTTTTGAAAATTGGGCTCCGGCTACCAAGACGAAACGCGAAAGCATTTGTCATACTTCCACTTTACGCTCGTCTTCTGTGAGGTCGTGGTACTTACCCGGACGGGCCTGCCCATTCGTGCAACAGCCGAGGCTGCTGCGTGGCCCTACCACCGTTTATAAATATAAAACGATCAACAAGTATCATTTTTATACTTGATATGCGGCTCATAAACAAGGAAGTCATCCGCGAAGACACATAAAAAAAATAAAAATATATACGGTCGAATTGCGAAACCTCCTCCTTTTTTGAAGTCGGTTAAAAACATCGATGCTCCCTAGAATGAATTCTCCCAGCGCCAACGCTTTCCGAAGTGGTCGTAATGATAGATTTAGAAATTCTTCCAGTCAGACTATAGCTACCGATCGAGCCGAAGTCCGGCTCTCTCGGGCACCCTCGACACGGAATGCTAAACGGGTATTGAGTGACAGCCCAAGCCGAGGTCCCATATCGGGGGGCCCTTGAGCCTAGCCACTCGAAGGAGCATCCCCTTGAGCGTCCTAAAAGCTTTGTGGCCTCCCAAACCTCACCGGTTTATTAACAATCTATTTCTAAGAATATGATATCTATACTAATATTATAAAGCTGAAGAGTTTGTTTGTTTGCTTGACGGCGATTAATCTCGGGAACTATTGATCTGATTTGAAAAATTCTATCAGTGTTAGACAGCCCATTTATCAAGGTATTGACCATCACGATAAGATCAATAAGGCACCGGTAAAGAATGTTTCAAAATCTTTTTTTTTTTCCTTTCCTTTTGAGAGCGTGCGTTGCGTAAACAGTTAGTGTCGCAAAAATCATGCATCACAGAATTGTCATCCTTTAAAAGTCCCTTAAAAAAAACTTCCACGACAGCATATGTCCATCTTTTAAGGTTGGCTCACTTTAAACTTTTTCATGTTAATATAAAAAGGTCAAATTTGTTCTAAAGTATCTAATGCATTATTTGCGATGGTTTTTTTATAAACATTATATTAATCCTTTTCCAAATAAATACGTTATTCCTAACAATTATTTAATTTAAAACAAAATTGCCCTTTACATAATTAATTTCAATGAATATCTTATTAGTTATCGCAGTTTTAAAAGAACATCTCAGCAAAATAATGATCAAGTAGTACTTGACAAGTACTGCGCACGCATTTATGATGTGTATGGCCAGCGGGTAGTCATAACGAGCGGTAGCCCAATGCCCAAAACTATTCCATGCGAAGTCACGGGCAGAAGCTGCTTTTAATAATATTCTGGTTGTTTTAATTGCTTTGCTCACTTATTTATTGCAAACGTCATTTATATCAACTGAAATAATATAGAATGTTTGATACAAAGCTCGCATGAATCTTATATATATAACACTATAGAAATAGACATAGTTTAATTGATTACAAAAATATTATTATTTGAAATACAAAATTGCCATACATAGTTGTTTATAATATTTTGTTGTGATAACCAAGTGAAAATATATCTTTTACACCAATTTATAAAGTTTTGAAGTTTTAATATTTAAAATAAATAAATTGTTATAAAAATGTTATTTTTATTTACAATTAAAAACAAAACCTCGATGTATTGGAAGTTCGTGGTTCTTGTCTTTTGCTTTATACTCTTCCATTACACACAATTGTCATTATATCCGGATCCGGGTCTTTGTCTATCCCGTTTTTCAACCACTCACTCTACCTCGGGCTGCCAGCTTAGAGGTTTTCCCCCCAAATTTAGGGGGAAAACGCGTATTTTTTAAATTATTTTATTTGTTTATCTAGCGGCATCTAGTACGGTTTTTGATTACTAAGAATGCGGCTGTGATCTATGGAAAGTAGAGATAAAAAGTGTCTGTCAAAACAGATTTAATAGCGTAGGATAAATTTTAGGCTCGATTTACATTGGTCATGTGTTATGTAAACTAGACAAGTACAATAGTATAAACCGTTGGATAGAGGTGAGTCGAACTAGCTTGCAAGCTGCCTTGCACAAGAGCGGATCCAGCTTTGGTGCCGGGGGGATCACATAATCGTGGTCAAGTGATAATAAGTTATAATTTAATTTTTTAATCATAAATTCAAGTAAAAAGTAGGTATTTTTTGATGTATGTAACTGAATGATGTATGTATGAGAATGATTTATGTAACTGAATGAGAAGTATGTATGTAACTGAACTTGAAAATACCTATATTTAAATAACAAAATAAATTTTCCTTTTAAGTCTTCTGCCGAAACGAGTTATAACTTCGTCTACCTCAATGGATATCGTTTTATGGACGTGGAGAAGTGCCAGTCCGGTTAGACGTTATTCAACCATTCAAATCAAATCAAATAATTTGTTAATCGAAGTAAGAAATATATATTTCATCTATCATTTTTTAAATGTGATAGACATAGAAGCTCTTAGCCACGATTTGATTCATCGTAATGTAGAGAAAGATCTTTCCGCTGTCTTTATCCTGTTAGTGCAGCTAACAGGTAGTGTAGCCATAATACATAAAAAATTCTTATATTAGGATACATCTCAATATCACAATTTAAAATGAGGTCAGAAATTGCGACTGCGGTATTACAACACACCCACCACTACCATCTCCTTTTCTCTTAGAGTCACCCTGCAAGCAAGACCATGCAAATTTCACACCACACAACAGACAACAGACTTTTTTAAATACATATTAATTGTAAGTAGATAAAAACACCCAGACACAAGCCAAAACAAATGTTCATGGCGTAAATATTAGCCATGTAGATACGGACGGGGCTTAAACCCGCCACTCGTCGGTTAGTTACCGGAAATCCCACCATTAAATAAAAGGAGCCGAGTCATTTTTAATTATAAATAATTCGGCAATTAGCACGATTAACGAAAAAGTTAGTAAATCTAATTGTTATGAGTATATTAAGTAACGATAAACGAGCGGAAAAGTTTTAGCTTCTTTAATATTTTGTAGCTTTTAAAAATCTCTGGAGGACGAGCTTTACTCGGTTTGTTTTTTTTTTTTTTGGTAAATCGTGTATTTTGGAAATTACATTTAGATACAAATTACTGAGTAATGAAATATGCATAATATTTTTCGATTTTAACGACGTAATAATAAGAAAATATGAACTGGTGTTTTTCACAAAAGAAAGAACTTTAAAAAAAAAGGGAAAAAAGAACAAAATCATCTGGATCGAGAAAAAAATATAAAATAAAGAAAGCAAAGATCTTCAATCGAAAAAAAAAGTGTGTAAATGATAGTGACACGATCCACGGCCTTCTGTTCGGGGCCGCCCGATTACCGATGGAGCTATTATAACATTTTTTCTCGGTGAAATTTACTTTCGTATTCGAGTGATATTTTTCATTCCCCAAAAACTGGGATAAAACGACATTTTCTAAAAATAAAACCTATCCAGATCGATTTTTCGCCCCCGAATCTACGCACTTACTAAATTTCATGAAAATCGCTGGAGCCGTTTCCGAGATTCCGATTATATATACACGAATATAGTAAAAAGCAGTAGGTAGGTAATGAAGATTACTATTTACTTGTTGTACATCCCTGTTAATAAAACGCAATGGTTTTGTGTCACGCAATAGTTTTGAATTGAAGTTTTTTGATTTTTAAAACTTCAACGAAGATTATTTTATAAATTTCACTGTGTCACGAAGTGTCAGTGTAACACGAAATGTAACATCACATGAAATGTGGCGGTGAAAGGCACGGTAAAATTAAATTTTCGATTCGTTCGCTCCAATACCAACAATAAAATCATACAAATCTTTATATTACATTAATTAAATATTGAAGGTACTACTTCATAAAATCTACATGGCGACAAAAAATATATAAAAAATACAATTAACAATTTTATTCAGTACTTGCTGTAGTGTAAACAGCCACTTGTCCGGTGCTTGCCATTATCCACTGTACTTGTATTCGCTACTCACCACTGTCCTGGACCAACGTTAATCGGGCTTTAAATTAAGCGCCAAAAGTAACTAAAATTTTTTTATCATTCTTTATGAATCATATTTTTGGAATTACGGTATTAATATTGGTTGTGGAAAGAAATTATTAGATACAATTTTTTATAAAATTAAATTTTCTACAATTTTTGTTTAAACACTTTATAAGTCCAACATTTTCGCTTCAATGTCCTTCACTGTTTTATTCCATTCATTTAGAAAGGCAATAATCTTTGCACTATTTATTAATAATTAATATTTTTAGGAGTTTTTGACTTAATTTTTAGGGACAAATATTTTCGAGAGTTTGTAACACTGCAGTCTCTTCCTCTTTATTGACTTGTCTCACTCTCATTGTCTGTGGTCGTCCGTCTTCGATAACGCCGTGCCGGTCCGGTCATAATCATATTCATTCAGATATATAAAAGTACTCTTTGGTCATATTACTCGCGCTGTCGCACATCATTTGCTCACTAATCTTCTTAACCTGCAAACGTATTTTTAACCATGGCAGAGCCACGTGAAAGAACCTTCATTATGCTCAAACCTGACGCCGTGCAACGTGGACTAGTCGGCACAATTATCCAGCGTTTCGAAAATAAGGGCTTCAAGTTAGTTGCTCTTAAATTTGTATGGCCGTCTGAAGAACTTCTACAGAACCACTACAGCGATTTGTCATCAAAACCGTTCTTCCCTGGACTTGTGAAGTACATGAGCTCTGGTCCAGTTGTTCCAATGGTGTGGGAGGGACTTAATGTTGTTAAAACTGGTCGTCAAATGTTGGGTGCAACAAATCCAGCGGACTCTCAACCTGGTACGATTCGTGGTGATCTTTGTATTCAAGTTGGTCGCAATATTATTCACGGCTCAGACAGTGTTGAATCAGCTAACAAAGAAATCGCTCTATGGTTTACTGAAAAGGAACTAGTTGGGTGGACACCAGCTGCCGAAAATTGGGTTTATGAATAAATGATAATGCAACTCGTAACGCATTTGTCAGCTTATTTTTATTGTGATAAAAAATAAATGAATATATATCTCAAATATGTTAATTATTTTCAATCCTTCTAACCTATTCCCTTGAGATGAGTACTTATCAATATTAAGGGTCAAGGTGAATATCATGCTTACAAGTTATTAGTAAAATTGTTTTTATTCTACTAGAAAAAAATCTTTTAATTCCTGTTATTAACATTATTCATTGTTTAATAGATTTTTACAGTAAAATTAAAAACAATAAAATTTTATTGCCACATCCTACTTTAGTTCACTTGAGCAATTAAATGAGCATAGTATTGCTTAGTGTTTGATATTAGATGATTTCTGATGACCATGATCCTTTTTGTCAATGTATAGTAAGATTGTTTTACCCCAGATTTTAACAGAAATGAAAAATTTAAAAAAAATTAAAACTATTAACTAAATGTAAAATCGGCCAAGAGTCAGTATCACGCATGAAGGGTTCCATAGGTACCTTTTAAGTACAATATAAAATGTAGTACATGCAGGCGAAAAGCTAGTTAAATAACAAAGTAAAATGAAAAACTTTTGAAACCACTTTTACTATCATATATTTTCATAATTAAAAATTCTACATCTAGCTTACAAAAGGCATCATTTTGATGCAGGAGCTTTGCTTTTGGATGAGTTGTGTCTACCAAATATTTTTATTTTAACTAAACAAAGGTTCTTAAATATTTAATTGTAAAATTCATTAAATACAAATTGAAATTAATAAATATTTAGTAACATCAACCCATCCTTTATAAATAAAATACCATAGTAAATCATAAGATATGCTAATATACTAAATCACATTTAGACTTCTAGTGTCGCTCCATTTTCAATTATTTACATGTGAGAGTCTTTTACAACAGATAAACCGCAATATTTCATTGAATTAGCATCAATAACAACATTCATGCTAACTCCACAGCCAATTAAAACTTTAATGTAAATATAAACAAATTGGCTATAAGAACAAATTCTTCAAAAATAGGAAGTTAACATTATTATGTACTTCAAAGCTTTTAATTACAAATCATGTACAAATTTATTGAATGTTTTCACTGAATGTACATTATCTCTCATCTTATACTGTAATGGCAGTGTTAGCTGCACATGCAGCTTTTAATTTGTATGCTGAATAACAATTAAGTAACATTCTTTCAAGTACCATTATTAAAGTATATTTACATTTTCTGCATATGAACATGAATGGTACTTAGTCACAATTTCAAAATATATTAGGGTGGGTAATAAAATTAAAAGCTACACTAGGCTTAAAGAGTCTGTTCTGGGCGGATTTCTATTTCGACTGCGGGCTGCATATTCTGTTGTTGTTGCTCACTGGTTTGCTGTTGAGTTCCTTGTTGCTCTTGCTGACTAAGTTGAACCCGTGAAGGCAGGGGAGCAGTTTGGCCTAAACAAAAACCTTAGGCAATATGGAAAATAATATGCAAAACATGAAATTATATAATCAACTTTATAATTAGTAAGTTGCCATTGTTGAGGATTAGAAATTCAGTTCTTTACTTTTTTTTTTTAAATGAATTCCAGGTAAAAATACTAATGGGCTCTCCATCTCTTCCTATAATATTAATTAAGACCAAATTCAAAATTTTACTTTTCAGTATAGACTAGTTTAATTGAATGAACCATGAATACTACCGCCGCACTACATTAGACCTGTCCATATAAAAATCCACGAACTGTGCTTTTTTTTAAACAATGAATACAAAATTTGTTAAGTTAAAAATCAGCAAAAGCCACGGGATAGCAGAAATAGAGTCATTTCTAAAAACCCTTGTCCTCATTGTAATCTTTGATTAATAGGCCCTTTCCATTGGGGTAGCTTTTACAAAATATTTGAAATTTTTTACACTAGGTTGTGGATATTACTAATATTATTTTTCTAATATATTATTTGGTTGTTCTAATTTTTCATTAAAGTTATGGTATCCTCAAGTTCACCTTACATATTATTAAAGGAAGAGATTAATTTTATTGTACAAACACAAATACCATTTATATTAACTTACCATATTTATCATGGATTCCCCTGTGTCTTTTTAGCGCAAAGCGATCAGCAAATGCGGCAGTACAAATATCGCACTTGAATGGTTTCTCACCAGAGTGTACTTTAGCGTGATTTTTAAGATGAGCCGCTTGACTGAACGCCGAACCGCACGTTTCACATCTGCCCAACAATAACTTTCATTAAAAATGATCACCTATAAAATACAACTATAATGTCCATTTATAATTTTGAGAAACGCTTTTGTAAGGGATGTTTTGATAACATTTTAGTTTAAACATCACTAAACTTAAAAGACAAATGGTGAAATATATCACCGACGCGAAGATTCGAACCTGCGACCTACGGGCACTTTTGTCATTCGCTCCCTTCACTCTACCCACTAAGCTAAAATCTTCACACTGACGAAAATCTCAACGTATTATACTATTTTGGTAGTTAGTAGTACTACTGTAGTTAGTAGTTAGTATATACTACGTTTGGTGTCATCTATTGTTTCCTTTACAGCAAAAATCCAATTTTTCATATAACATAGAGAAAAATATACATTTGTATCAGGTAGGTGTAAATTTTAAATAGAATAACTGAGCTTAAAAATGTACTTACTTGTACGGCTTCTCTCCAGTGTGAATACGACGATGGTTCCACAATGTTGCATGCCTAGCAAAACCTTTATCACATACCTATGGAAAAGCAAATTTAAGAGAATATTTACATAAATAGATATCTTTAATGGATATTAAGTTAACATTTCTATTATATTATTACTAAGACCCATGGTGTGTATCCTTTTAGATTAAGGGTGTAAACTTATGGTAATAATAATAAAATGGTAACATGGTTATATGTTAAATGTAACATTATCAATATATCAATCTCATAATCCTTGATTATTATTCTTACTATTTATTACTCTCTCAGTATAAAATATATTGTTCTTATTCAAAAAATACATCTTAATCGAAATCCCTTACCTCACAGACATATGGTTTTTCCCCGGAATGCGTTCTTTCATGGTTTTTTAAATGCGGCGATTGAGAAAACTGCATACCACATGTACTACATCTGTAAAATTAATATTTTTAAATAGTTGTATGTTAAAGTATCCTTGACGTTTAATATTATGTCACCCATTTATGAGGTGCAATTTTAAAGGAAATAATCTTAACAAGGAAAGGGGGCACACATAATTTTTAATTCAATTTCAGTTTGTGGTACTGTAATGATAATAAAATACTGCTAGAAAATGCTGCTCATGACAAAAGCACTTTAAAATTTAAAGATATTTTCTTGTTCAAAAAAGGCAATTAAACAATATTGATTACTTGTTATGGAAAATTCTAAAGAATTTGAATAGAAAAACCACAGAGTATTAAACTTTCTAACTAAACACTGACTGTTAAAATAGTAGAATAAGTGAAAAGTTGGTTAACGTACACTACAATAATAACAAAAAAGTCAACAAGACAAGCTGTGGATGCAATGACAATTTTTTAATATTTTTTACAAAGAAGAATGTCATAATTTACAAACCTGTATGGTTTCTCTCCTGTATGTATTCTAGAATGGTTTTTAAGATAAACAGCCTTTGCAAATGCAATACCACAAATTCCACATTTAAAATTCTTCTCTCCAGAGTGTAACTTTTTGTGAGACCATAGTGAGGAGTATCTTGAGAAGGAGCCCCCACATATATTGCAGTGGAAACGTTTGTCCATGTCAGGTTGATTATGTTTGTTCTTATTCCCTCCAATAAATATTATACCAGAACCATTGCAATTCTGACATTTTGTGACAGAAGCCAATGTTCTTTTCTTCACAGGATGATGTCCTGGCACTGAAGGGTAAATTGAAACATCATTTCAAATATTGTGCAAAAAATCCCATATGGACAAAATGCTATACTTTTGAAATTCTTTCTTTTTTTGTGAATAATAAAACTTTATTTTCTGTTTGAAGGAAGATATCTAAGGTTTAATATTCAAATAATGAAATCTGACAATTCACTTTACCATCAAGTATAATACCATCAAGTCAAAGGAATACATTTCAACACCTGGATCTCACATGACATATTTAGTTTACTAGATAAAAATGTTTCTTGCTAAATTCTTTATTCTTTGGTAAACAATTGATTGAAAATAAAACATTAGACAAATAATATAAAGAAAACATAGATATTATATTTAACTTAATAATTTCTTGGAAATGAGAAATATTTTGTGTGAAATTATGTGTACATTTTTAAACATCATTGCAACAGTTAGTTTAAAATCATTTTCTAAGATTTGATTAAAAAAAAAAATTATAAAAAAATTTGTTATAATGAATAACCTTAAATACTCACAAGGTTTTTGGGGTTGCTGTGATGTATGGTTTGTCTGAGTGGTTGCTAATGGATCGGTAGCAGACTGCACTGTGCTTACACCACCTACTTCAAACTTGACATTTTCATCTGACGCCACCAGAATTTGTGTTGTATTCACTGGTGATTGTAAACAATATTTTCGCATTGAATGATAAACTATCTAAATAACCATTCTATAATTTTTCTGTTTGTGAAACTTACAGGTGAATTATTAATTATACATAGGTAGGTACATACATGTATAAAGAATTAAATAATTATCATTATAGGTGAACTTTTTAAATTTATTTAAAGTTCAAATTTTGGGATCTGAAAAAGAGAGCTTCTGAGCTTATATAAAAACATAACCCTTGTCTTTAGGAGAGGCATAAATATATTAAGCAAAGCTTCCATCAGTTATAGATAACCATAGCAACAAAATGGTAATAAGCATTTAGTACATTCTTGAACTTATTAATTTTTCTAAATATGTAAATTTTTGTAGATAAATGAACAAACACATTCTTCCCTACGGGATTCGAACCTGCGTCTTCTGGTTTCACATCCAGGCACTTTACCAACTAAGGTAGGTGGCCGATTACCTCACAGCGCCAAAATCTTGACATCTATTTATATTCTATCGCATTTTTAACAATGCTTGGCACATGTAGTGTGCATCCTTTACAGCATACAACACCTTACAAATAACATTTAAAAATGAATATTTGTAGCCCTATATACCTCTATATTGCCATAGCTCTTAAAAAAATTTTAAGATTAATTTTTATTTTTATATTTAGTGCTAATCTGTGCTCTCTTTCTTATTAATTTCTCCCAAACTCTGTTCATGTAAAACAAAGAAAAATTTCCCAATAAAAATACTAATTGCCAGTTTCAAATTAGGTAAGTGCTTCTTACTTTAGAAGGTGGGGGGTACATATCCTAAGTAGAATAATATGAAAATACCACATATAATAAACATATAAGTTTGACAAGTGTTTGTAAACAAATCTCACTTTGATTGTTCCTTTGTTGATCCACAGAATCCTGAGCAATGCAATTTTCACAGCGTATAAGTTTAGGTCCTTTTCTTTTAGGATTGTTTGTTATAACACCACCACATGTAATACATTTCTGAACTTTATCTATAATAACTGGTTTAGCTGAAATCATTTATAATAATTGAGTTAATTCATTAATACAATAAAATAATCAAGTAAAAATTCTAATTAGAAGCAAAAAGTAACAACTAAAATTTCAATTTTTCAATCAACACATTATAAAGTTAGAAAAGTTTGAACATCATTGTGATTTCAAAAACTTCCCACTCATTACATCAATATATTTCTTTATTAGAGTATATTTATACTAATGGAGTACAGCTAAATTGATCAGATAATATTTCTGTTGAAGTCCCAGATGATTTGAGGACACATATTGTGAAATTCATGAAATAATACAATAAAAATTGCAATTATTCTTAGAACTATACAAAAATTATCTCTGTATAAAACAAAGCCATGTGATAAAATTTTAAAATAAATCTACCATCATTAAAGAATTATTATTCATATAAAATAACTATTCAAGAGGAGGGTAATATGTAATAATACAGATAATGAACATACTTACTATCTTGAATTTGTACATGATGCTGTTGTTGCTCTGTGGGGTCTGATGAGAGAATTTGTATGTGAGGTGGCATCGCTACTTCATTTGCTGTGCTAACACCTGTGGCTACGACTGTTATGTTATTTTCTGTGAAAGCAAAATTTTAGCCTCATAATTTTCTAAAATTAAGTTATACCCCTTCATTACCTTAAAATAGTTTTTTAATTAACTTTTTAATTATAAATATTTGTGGTTAACATTTATAAATGGTTACTATCATAAAAGACATTTATTTCCTTAAAAAATCCTAAGAAATCACATACAGGTGCAAGATTTAAAAAAAAATACTGGAATAATTTGTTTAACCATAAATACTATTAATTTAAATGTAACACAATTTACCAAGGAAATTGTATTCTAAGTAATGAAACCAATGTAAAGACCAATATTTTGTCAGATTAACTTTAAAAAAATTACATACTTATTGAAATAAATACTGACCAGTATCTTGTGCATGTATCCTTTTATGGGCATTAAGTAAAGTTAGATGTCCAAACATAAGACCGCATACATCACATTTAAAGCTTATATTAGATATTGTGTTCTGAATTCCATTAGGTGCAATCTGCATTTGGTTTACCAAGGCATAATTATAGGAGAATGGTTGAGCTATATAGCAAGTCTTGTCATCACTTGTAGTCAGTTGAGCTATGTTCACCCCACCAGTCCCACTAGCATTTCCAGTTCCAATTTTTCCTATCATATTAACATTAGTTGTATAACAAAATGTTGGAAATTCCTGGAAAACAAAACAGAAATACTTAGAGAAAATAATTTCAAATTCGAAATAAGATATCATTTACTTTAACATAAAAGCTTAGTGAAAGACTAATACAAGTAGGAGAGTCCTCGTAAAAAGATTAATAACAAATAACTAAGTATAAAAAAATACCTGTTGTTGGGTCTGTTGACCGCCTTTTTGCTGTACATTTTCAATGTTCTTGCCTTGTGACTTTTGTGTTGGATGTTCTTGATACTGCAGAGTAGGAACATTGCCGGCTTGAACGGTACTTGTCGTGAACATTTTTATATTATAACTAGTTTCATCACAGGAAATTGAATTTCATACATACACTTCGTAATGTGATCTATAAAAATAAAATAGTTTCATGAATTAAACAGAAGAAACATATATCAAATTTGGAACTTTTGCTTTAACATGTTCAGTAAATTTAAATGCGCGGCTAATTGTTCACACGAAAGAGAAACTCCAAAACATAAAGTGCGAAGGTAACGGGGAATATTTATTATCAGTCTACTCTACTCGTAACAGGATCATTCGTTTGATGAAAGCAGTAGCAGTGTCTCTGTGAATAGCGTCGATATATGTAAGAAAAGGATGACGGACTATCTATAGACGCGCTTCAAGTAAACGACGGACGCCATTGTTAATGTTCATTTCTGAATTTGGCGGAGAAAACGTCGAGATTCTAAGAATTACGTGCAAATATTAGACCAGAACGCCGACCATTTAACTTTAGCTTACCTTCATATATCAAGCGTTTTTGAATATATCTCTAATTTGAGCATAAATTCGACATTTAAGAATTTAAATGATCTTATGTCTATCTCACTTTGAAATCTTCAATTCTCCATCTCACTAAATAAATGAAATGGCGATACAAGTAAAATGGCGGAGAATTCGTTAAATGTTGCCACGTAAGAAAGGCGACATGAACTGTCCGATTGCAAATAATAAAACATTTCGATTTTGAATAAAATATTACACATCTTAAAATAAAACATTTAGCATTTTCACAAATACTAAAAATAATGTGACGATATCAACGTTTTTTAACCGATAGAGTAGCAATTTTTCAGACGGCCCACATTGAACAAAGAAGTCAAAGAAGTGTCATATTTCCGCAGTATTATTTTTTTTTTCATATTCTTTTCAATTCAATAAAATTTTTAAATGGGCAAATTTTGGGCATTTTTATTTATCTAACTAGCGATCCGCCCCCGTGCAATATATTATACATATAAACCTTCCTCTTGAATCACTCTATCTAGTAAAATAAACCGCATTAAGATCTGTTGCGTAGTTTAGATCTAAGCATATACATAGGGACAGCGGGACGACTTTCTTTTATATTACCTATGTAAAGAACTACAAGATTAAATCTATCTAAAAGTACATAATTATTATCTAATAAACCTAATCCACGCGGTATCCGTATGGTGCCAATAACGCTAGCTGCATTACCTCCCTGGATAGTTATGCTTAACCTTTGAGCTTGTTTTTTAACCTCTTGTCACCAGCCGCGGCGTTAAGATTAGGACATTTATGGACATAAACATTTAAAAAAAATTGATTTACGGGGACTCCACGGACCCAAAGTTTCAACAGCATGTGGTACAAATATATTTACTTTTTTATATATATTTGTAGAGATGCTCTGCAATATCACATGTAACTTTACAATTTTTTTTATTAAAAAGATTACTGTAGTACCATAAAACTATTACGAATTTTGTAGATAAATAAACAAAATTTCTGGTGCTTGGGATTCAAACCTGCCTCTTCTGGCACTAACTAAAATAAAAAACTAAACTAGCACAAAAATAAAAAAAATTATCTTAAAAAATGTTACGGTATTTTGTTTTCTCTATGATTTTATTAAAAAAATTATATAGGACTAGGGCACTAGGGTGACATTAAGAAAATAAAATCAAACAAGTTTGAATATTGTTATTTAAAAGACACAATGCACTTATGTCAACAATTTGTTCTAGATCAAAAGTGAGATTTTAATTAATGTAATATTTTTCATAAAAATCTATATCTTCAAATTGATTACAATTCTTGAATGGTAGATGTGGCTAATGTGATCACTTTCAAGCCAAAAAGACACTTAAGGACTGATAAGAAAACTATTTATTTCAACTTTAGCATTTTACGAAATTTATGTAAAATACAAGAGTTATGTCAGATAGCTATACATGTTATTTCTCCAAACGATTTTAATGGAATCAATCAAATATGACACAATTTAGTCTGAAGAAATAAAACTAACATTCAAAATTTAAAGTAATTCAAACATAATACATAAATCAAATAGGTCAGAGTGACATCAAAAGAGTATGTATAATCTGAGATTACCAATCAATAACAATAACTAAGATACAGATTGTTAGAAAAAAATGCCAATATTTATGATTAAATACTGATATAATGTACAACTTTACATTAAATACAACCCTTATACATCTCGATGGTTAACTTCTGGCTTTAGATCACTTCCAGCATGCTCATCCCAGTCCTTTTTAAATGTATCCATAGCTTCTTGTAAAGTATTAAACGTTACTGGGTCTATATTATCGCCTTGATCTGGTTGTAGAGGTTCACTTTGAATATTTGTTTCTGTTAAATCAATTTGTGCTATTAATATTGATAAATAATTGCATATCTAGATTGTATTTAACCACAACCACTGGAATACACATGTAAAAAGGTTCTACCCAGTATCATGGCAAAGTTCTTTATTACATAAATTTGTTTTGAAATTACTTGTTTTGCATTTGATAACTCCGATGTAGCTAAGTTGGAGGACTAAAAATTTATTTTATATTTAGGTTATTTAGTTTTAAAATACAATGTTAATGCTATTTTATATTTCAATCTTTAGTTAAAATATTTACGCTTTATACTATAACAATAGTTATAGGATAGGGTATAACTATTATTATAGTTCAAGAACTAACATTTTCGTAATAAAAATATATCATTACAAAAACATCAGTCAAGTTTCCTTAATGAATAAAGAAAGAGGAATACAACACGATTTTACCTGCACCAACTTTTGGAGCAACATATGCATGTTCCATTGTTAGAAGCTTTGCAGTTTTATACAAGTACTTTAAATTTTTTTCTGGTAATTTATCAAATAAAGTATCTGCACATTCTGGAGAAGGATCTTCTTCAAAAAATAAATATGTACCCAATGGATTTTCAAAGTTACCTTGCAAATGAAAAACACAAACAGCTTTTAATTAAATAATATTTGAAAAAAAAATTTTACCGAATAATTTAAATCATTTCAGTTTTTCAATCATTAAATTTCAATACCTGTGAAAAAAGTGTCGTCTAATTGAATAATGGGAGTTTTTGTATCAATACCTAACACATGTATATTTCTATATTTTTCAATCTTTACACTATCTTTAAACTCTGCATACACCAAAATTTCTTCTTCAGAATCTGACGGACAGTCATTCATCTTAATACGATAATAACGTAAATAACTGGATGTGGATATTACTTTACTCTTTAGAGCAAAGAGTACCTCTATATATTTCAGTATATATGTCTTATCTATGATATATCTGAATCTGACAGCCTTTGTTAAATACTCCGTATGCACTACAGATAAGTTTATTGTTTATCCGGTTTGAGTCATTACCTAGAACAAAGTTACCAAAGAGAATGTAATCACTACGTTTACGTTTGAAAGTTACCTAAGCCCAGTCTCAATTACAATTACAAAGTTACTCTATGTCAAGCATGACAGATAACAGATAGAGAGAAAGAGAAAACCAGTAGGAAGAAGCAGATAAAAAAGCTCTTTGATGATGAAAAAAGGGCGGGAAACTTTGAAAGCTAAGCGCGCGTTTTTTTATCTAAATCACATTTATTTAATTTTAGTGATAATAATAAGAGAAGTTTTGTGTATATATGTAATTTTTTTTACTTTGTGTAGTTAATTATTAATAGTAATAGTTTAATTTCTATACCTAGGTAAGTTTTATATATTTTATTATAATGAATGAACCCCCTGATCCCGGGGGTGGAGTCCCCGAGGTTGCGTGCAATGTAGAAGTTTCTAATGGCGAGTCTTGTATGGACACTGATGCGTCGAATACTCGTTATCATTAGAAAACGCTCACGTTTGCAGAAAATTTGCAAACATTGCAATAAAAAAAGGAGGAGCAGTCATTCTGGTACTAAGAATGACCAAACTAAGCATGCCTGTCATTGCGATAGTGATGAGAACAGCACCATTCTAAAAATGTTGCATCACCAGTAACAACAGAATCAAAAGAGCCCGAGCAACTTAGTGTCGAATATAGAAAGATTGGTAAATGTAAATAACTTTAACTCCAGCGTAATTCAAATCAAATAAATTTTAAACGATAGAGAAAACTCACTTATGAATTTATCAACAAGCAGAATTTGGCGGTCGCTTATAGTTTTCGAAAAAATAAATAATGAAATATAGTTTTTGTGATTTTTACTATAGAAATCCGCCATTTTTTTGTTGTCAATATGTCAATTCAGCTCGTATTTCTTGGTGGTCATAAAAAAAAAACCTAACATCGAAGGTTAAATCGGAATATTGATACGTGTATGATGGCGCCCGCTTCCTATATTTATCATGTTGGCAGAACTGTGTAAAGAACTTTTGAAGTCAAACGAATAAAATGGTGGATTTCTTAGTACAAAAAACAAGTTTTTTTTTTAAATATTTTTTTTTCTCGAAAACTATAAGCGACCGCCGAATTCTGCTTGTTGATTAATTCATTAGAGATTTATCTCTATCGTTTAAAATTTATTTGATTTGAATTACGCCGGAGTTAAAGTTATTTACCTTTACCGAAAGATTTACCAAAACAGTGACTTATCACATTATATTATACATGTTCAAAAAGAAGTATCTTCATTTAATGATGGTACTTCATTCCACCCTGTGTCCTTTGGCAATTTTCTTAAAAAAATTTATTTAGGAATATCATCAATGGCAGTATAAAAAAAAATGGTAGGAACAAGATTTCCCTTGCATTTTCCAATTTTACTGATGCTAACACTTTTATTAATCATCCTTCTTTGTCTACACAGAAATTAAAAAGCCTTTATTCCAACCTTCAACATAACTAGGATGGGTATTGTAAGAGGAGTGCCAGCTGAATGGTCCCCAGATGAAATTAAAAATAACATAACTGTGCCAATGGGTTGTGGTGAAATTTTAAAAATAAGACGATTAAATTATAAAACAACAAGTTTCAAGTTATAAGTACCAACACACA